AAGATGATTTTCCTGCTGCTTTTTGATCTCCTGAAAGTCGGCGAAGAAACCAATTACGGTTCTATATATGTGTTTTCTTGCCTTTCCTGGGCAGAGGAGCTGTATTCGTTTTTTTTTTTCCGGGGGCCTTTGTCAGTGTCATTTAGCTCGCAAGGAAAATCGCGTTTCCTCCTCTCCACCGTTATTTTTAACTCTTAGGGGAAGCGCCATGCTGTTTCTGCCGGCTTTGAAGCCGCCAGATTTTTTTGTTTTCGAGCTGCGGCGCGCTTTATGCGGTGTGTACTTTCGACTATCTGAAGGTGTTCGTTCTTTGTGGCTTTTTCTCCTAATTGACAGCGTTGTGCTGCGGCGTTTTGTACTACACGTTTGCTCCCCCTGTGCGTTTTAAGCCCTGCTGGGACCGTTCCCGTATTTTTACACTTTGGCAAAGCTGCTCGGGTTTTCTACCTGTTTGGGGGTAGACGAGTGCGAGCCCGTGTGCGTGTGTGTGCGACTTCGGTTCAGCTAAATATTGGTACAAGAGCTCTGCCCAACATGAAAGCTCATAGACTATTTGACTGGTCTTCCACGCAGAATGGCTTCTCTGTGGACGTTGGTCAGGCAGAATAGGGAACAAAGGGCTTTACTCCTTTTTGTGTGATAGTGTAAAACTAACCTTTATGAAAGAGGACTGGAAATAAGCCATTGTTGCCTTCTCTTGCGGGTAAAAGGTCCTGAGTGCCATCAAAGTGTATTGAGATTTCATGGTGGTGGCAGTGGTTGGAGGTGTTGAGCTCTTCCTTGAGCCAGCTAAAAGGTAACTGCATCCAGGGCTGTCCCTAAAATGAGACAGCCTGAGACTCTTGCCTCAGGCGGCATCTCTTTGGGTCAGGTGGGGGGTCAGGCAAAAAGGCATCGGCGCTCTACTGCACAGCATTTCTACTGCAGCCCCTTTCTGGCCAAAGTGCCACAGGTTGCTAAGAACCGGTCGGGAGTTGTCCTAGGGTCATACACATCTCCCTGCCCAGTCTTGGCAACCTGGGGCGCTCTGGCCGGCATGCCGCCCCGCTCCTGGCAACCAAATACGTTACTAGAGCTGGACAGGGAGATGATGCAGGGGACCCCCCATTAATGTGCACCTCCAGCACATTAACATAGGGGGCTTGTAAACCCTCCATGTGATAGAAATGGTAAAAATGCCAAAAAATTTAACGTCCCCTGCCCCCATGAACGATATTTAAATGGGAACAAATGTAGTAAATATGTGGTAGGTGTTATCAAAATTTGGCTGCAGATGCAGAAACACTTTAAACATTCCAAAGTGATACAAAACTTGCGCAGCCATCATAAAGAGGTGCCAGCGTGGTCAAATATGTCAATCGCACTGGAAAACCCAAACACTGGGCGCACACAATTTTGACCAGCTCCTGCAGAGATGGGATAGCTCTGGCCTGCCCCCATCTGGGACATAGTGGAGACCCCCCCATTGCAGAGATCTCTGCTCACTTCCTGTCAGTGGCATAGTGAATGAGAATACCAGTGGAGCCACACGCAGTATTTGTAAGACACAATCTAATCTCCACCTCAGTGGGTAACTAAAGATTTTGCTGAAATTTTAATATTAATTTTTTTCTTCTGTTACAGCTTTGACGGAAATTTCAACACCAATGTCTCCAGAACTATCAGCTGCGACAGACTCTCCACGACGGTGAACAACCGAGCGTTTAATCCTGGGAGGGACCTAAACTCCGGTGCGTATCAGTATTGCTTACATTGCAAGTGAACATGCTATTTGTTATGCACTCGGTGTATGTTTAAAGGGTATGTACAGTATGTGCTTGTCTGTTGGCTCATCACTGGACTGCTTTACAGTTTACACATTTGAAATGTTGATGATCCCTTCTTTCCCAAATGACCATTCTGAGGAAGGGTAAAAAAAAAAAAGCACCCATTGTGTTCCCTGGTTTATGCACCGCCCCTTTATGGTTAATGCTCTGCCCACTGCACACATTGGAACATCAGTAGGAGGCTACATTGACTCAAAAGGCTGCAGGCCTCTCCCAGGTGTATGAAGGCACTTTGTTTTGGATTCAGGGAATTTTCTTAACCTCCCTGGCAGTATTCCCGAGTTTGGCTCGGGGTTCATTTTCTGTACCATAAGCGGTAACCCCGAGCCAGACTCGGGAATACAGCGTTGCGTCTCTTACCTTGTCTGCGATCCACGCTGTGTCCTCCGGCCAATGCCGGTATCTGTCTTCCGGGTTCCGTCCATTGCGAGCGTCCGCGTCGCAGGGGGGTGGAACCGGCGGAAAGTAAAAAAAATAAAAAAAAAATATGATAGAGCAAAAATGGAAAGAAAAAAAAAAACCATACCGCCAGGCAGGTTAAAACGGATAAACTCATTTAGCCCATAAATTTGGTGATTTTTGTAAACTATCAATCTTTCTAGATTTAAGACGTTGTATGAAAATGAACATTTTACAGCAATCTTGCGCCCATTTGTTTCATCGTTTCCTGGCTTTGATCACCCATATAGCCATGTAGGGTTGGGGGAAAAACACTTAGAAATAGTTGTAGCTGGTGTTGCACAGGCTTCAGTTCAATTCCACTGCCATTTAAATCATTTGGTTGCCCAAAACCATATTCTGGTTGAAAGGTAATGGAAAGTTCCACAATTGCCAAAATGCTTAGTGTGTGTGAGGAGCATTATACTGAATTCATCACTTCTTCTCCCAAACACAAACATTTCGTAAGGAGGGTTTGACTTCAGAAAAGGGGAGGTGGTGCTGTGTGAAGATATACAGTATGTGCTGATGTCAAACCTTTCAGGCCCGGCGCTAGCGCAGGGCAAGTCAGGCGGCCGCCTTACGGCGCTGCAGGGTGAGGGCGGAAAAAACAGGGCATTTTGACCAGTACTTGTCAAAATGCCCCGATGTTTGCGCTATGTTTTTTTTTTTTTTTACTTTCCGTGCTTGAGAGCAGCGACGCAAAATTGCACCTTACCCACCTTGACTACAATCCTAGCACCGGCCCTGGGCCCACTGCAAGTATATTCCTGGAGCCTCCATTATGAACTATGTGGAAACTTATTCTGCAGCATTTGGATGCATAATGACTTCAAAGTCCTGCCACCAGATACCACACAAAGCAGTTTATCAACATGTAGATCTACTATTTAGAGGGATGAATGTTTTATATACATTGCCTGGCCAAAAAAAGTCACCACCTGGGTTTAGCTAAGCAATAGCTAGTAAGAGGTAAGGTTGCTTCAGATGGTCAGGCCAGCAATGTTATGTGCCCAAAAAATGAGGTCAGCTGCCTCCATGAATACACTGAATAACCAGGTTTTTCCATCAATGGATTTCTTCTTTGCTGATGGTACGGACATATTCCAAGATGACAATGCCAGGATTCATCAGACTTGGATTGTGAAAGAGTGGTTCATGGAGCATGAGACATCGTTGGCCATGGATTGGCCACCACAGAGTCCAGACCTTAATCCCATTGAGAATCTTTGGTAAGTGCTGGAGAAGACTTTCCTGAGTGGTCCAACTCTCCCATCATTACTGCAAGGGTTAATGATGATTTTCCCGGGAATTCTTTAAAAAAGAAAAAATTGTCACTGGGGATCCCGAATCTGACGATCCTGGAGCACCTCCTCGGAGATTTGGGCATTTTAGCTTTTCCGGGACCCCT